GGGGGGGGGGTGTGACACCACAGATGTTCCTGGCTAAAGAAAATTGGGCTGACAGCTGGTGTGTAATAACAAAACTAACTGAGCGTCATTCCCCAACAGCTGTGTTGCGCGCCATGAAATGTTGGGCTGCCCATGAGCAATGTGTTGCATCGGGAGCGCCGATGCAACACCGATTTGTGTGCGCGCGCGTGTTGGTGCTTCCCCATTCTGAGACTTGCATTCCATGAGTGCTCACCTGAGTGTTTCCATCCCTTGAGACATTGGTCTAACTTGAGTGAGATCATGAGTGTGGGTATCCACCAAGAAAAAGTGGCTTCCAAATAGGCTGAACAGAGTAATGTATCATAGCAACAGCGGCACGACGTTTCAATCCCAAAATCCAAACATACATCGAGACATCCGTCCATTTTCTCTGCCGCTTATCCTCGAGTAATGGATGAGCTGGAAGGCCAACCCAGCTCAAGTTCCGGACAATGGAATTCAATTCTTAACTCAGAAAATGCCTCTAAATAGCAACACTTTTTGGGAAAAAAATTAAAACCCGAATCCAGCACTCTCTGCTTTCGATAAGATAAAAAAAAAAATAAAATTAAAAAAAACGATCAAACGATTAATCCAACAGACCTATATTCAGACCAGCTGCAGGACAAAAGACTTATGGAAGCAGCAAAGGAAATAAACACCATTAATCCGACCTTCAGGTGGTGTCTAAATTTGTTCAGGCAGACAAATTTTGTTGGGGGTCTATTTTATTTACCTTTTCGCATTTAAATGCACATGCCAGAGTTAAACAAGTCCCGGACGATTAATTATTGGGGATGTATCGTGTCCGGGCTCTCCCTTAAAACTCATTCAGTACCAGCCAATTCTAGACCAAGTCTGAAAAGACGTTGAAAAACGTCTTTGGGAGTGAATGAGTTAAAGTTAAGGTGAGAAGCTGGGTCTTCCGGGAGGAACTCAGAGTCAAGCCGCTTTTCCTCCACATCGAGAGGAGCCAGATGAGGTGGCTCGGGCATCTGATTAGGATGCCTCCCTGCGGGTGAGGTGTTCCGGGCATTTTGCACCGGCAGGAGGCCCAGGGAACGACCCAGGATACGCTGGAGAGACCGTCTCCCAGCCGACCTGGGAATGCCTTGGGATCCCCCCCAGGGGAAGTGCTGGATGAAGTGGCTGGGGAGAGGGAAGTCTGGGCTTCCATGCTAAACTTGTTACCCCTTGCGACCCGACACCGGATAAGCGGTAGAAAATTGACGGACAGATGGATGGACGGATTTGTTTCACTGTAACCCCATAAAAGCAGAGTGGGGAGGCATCGCAAGTGTTTTTTTTTTTACTGAGCAGCCGGCATGGCAGGACATCAAGAGAGCACAAACTGTGACCAATCCTGATGAGCGCTGACATTTCCTGTCTGCTCTGATCTGCTTCTTGATATGAGTCGACACCTTGATTTGGTTTGACCTTATGAGTCATCACATAAGCAACAGCTGATCGGATGAAAGAGCCACACTGACAAAAAGCATGATAACGACAACAACGATCTCATTTTCTCCCCAGCTAAACTCGACCCCGTCCATGTGCCAAATTTGTGCTTCCAACCGAGGGAACAAGAATTTTTCCAGATACGAGCTGTCATTTGGTCCTTTTTTTCCTTTTATTACCGAGCACAAACTTAAAATGCTAGCGCTGTATAGCTCAACGTATTTTCTTCAAAAAAGAAGCTTCGAGTTATTGCCATTCCTACTTAGGTTTACAGTCAAACTAAACACAAGACTAAGAGAATTCTACACAAAGTATTAAAAAAAAAAAAACATAGCTCAGCCTTCAGTCTGCGAGCTTGTGTCAGCTAATACTGACACAAAATAATTTTTTTTATGTATTGTACAGTATAATCCTTTGAAAAATTCATATTTTAATACAAACAGTGCAGCAACCTATTATGAAGTGAATATAACGACCCATAATAATGTACATTCTTTATCCTCTGTAAGGAGCGGAGACATCCACAAACGACAGCTGTCAATGTACATGCAGACTGTATATGCATCTGTCTGTCTTATACTGCCCCCTCGTGGCCAAGTCACCACTGCATTTGGATTTTGACCACAGCTGTGACTTTTTTTTTGGGGGCAATAAGGTTGCACAAAATTTCAGGGTTCAAACAGCCCTCGTGAATCGCAAGATTAACTCCGGGTGTACATTTTGCGAACAGTAACAGCCGGGTGTTAAACTTCAGTTTGGACTAGCACAACTGTTCCTCCCGAGCTTCTGCCTAACATATCCTCAATTTTTTTTTTCCTTTCCCATGACTTTATTTGTACTCTCTCATTTGTTTGTTTCTCATTTCCTATGCTCCCTTGTTTCCACCTTATCAATCATTCACTGTTGTTCTATTTAACTTGGCAGCATGCGGTCACGTGGCGCAACAGTGGTCTCCATGTCGCTAATCATATATACGGGGAAGGCCAACCACTTTCCACCATGCATATTAATGAAAAAAAAATTTTTTTTTTTTTTTTTTTTTGATCGGAAAGGGACAAGCAACACGGGCTAAATGAATCTGTTTTTTATTATGAAATGCCAGGACTCAGGCGAGAAGAAAAGGCCAGCAATGAACAAAAGAACACTAGCGTTCAAAAATACAGACACGCATGCGCCCATAAACAACGTTGGGTTAATCACGCAGACGGGCCGTGCATTGTTGATGGGCTGGCTCGGGAGCAGGCAGGCAGCTGGCTGAGTTAATTAACTAGTGCTAATCAAAAGCAATCTTCTTTCATTTTCTAATCGCGCATAGTTCATTTCTTGCGTTCCCCTCCCTCAGATAACGGCAGCCTTTGTGTGTGCGTGTGTGTGTGTGTGTGTGTGTGTGTGTGTGTGTGTGTGTGTGTGTGTGTGTGTGTGTGTGTGTTGAGGAAGTATATAAGCAGAAAAGAGACCAACCTGGTTCGCTCCTATTCAACGAGACGAAAAGTAGGAGCACAAAAGTTGCAGTGAAAATTATCAGGAGCTAAAAGGTATTGTGTCTTGTGTGCTATATAAAATTTGCAGGAAAGCGGGGAAATGTTTACCAAACAATTATCCCTTGCCTAAATTTAATTGACAGCAGTCATATTTGTGTCCCACAGGTACAAAGTAGCAAATGAATGTGACAACAAGCCTCGGTATTCAAAATCAATCCTCTTTGTGACTTGGGAGAACTTAAAATGCTTCGTGTGTGGTGGCTCCGAAAAATTAATTCCTCAATCGGGGATCGACAATGTGTGAAAATGTGTTTCTTTGTTCTCAGCATATATTGACGAAACTACATTTGGCCACGAGGATCAACTCTGTTAATTGAAAGACTGAAGGCAAATATGTTTGCGTTCCACTGATTAAAGAAAATTGTTGATCTACAACAGGGCCCTAATGCACTAAAACAATTGTCTCCTCT